CTCCAGTCGGGGTAGTAACCTACGCCTTGGGTAACTCTTGGAGGGGTGCTCGAGTTTATATTCCTCGACCGCGAGGACTTCAGTCCATTTGTCAGCTAGCAGATCTTGATCAGCTTGAAGCTGCTGCTGCTTTTTCTTCAGGCTATTTGCCGTGGCCATAAGCCGGCGCTTGAAGCGCTCTTGTTCAGCGGGATCCTCTGGGACAGTGAATTCATCATCGCCGAGGCTTGCCTCGTCTTCGGAGGGGGGGATGTAATTGTCATCCTCCTCCTCTCTGTCTGCCGCTCTCTCAGGAGAGCTGGCTCCTTCATTCTCCTGCTCTAAATCTTGCTGGAGGGGATTGTTGTTGTCTTCGGCACTATCCGGAGTGTTATTATCTCCTGTGCCGGTATCACCACTTTTGCTTTGGCGGGACTTAGAGCGGCGCCGCTGACGTCGACTTTTGGGTTGCTTCTTAGAGGGCTCATCCTCCGCTATCCCGTCGCCATTGCCTTCTTTGGGTGTATCCACCATGTATATGTCATATGACGAGGTGGCTTTCCAGTGCCCTATAGGTGCTGGTTCATGTTCATCTCCTACATCGTCGTCCATACCGTCGATGTCTTCGGAGTCGAAGTCGAGCATGTCTGTTAAATCATCGACAGTGGCTACGAAGTGGGTGGTGGGTGGGCGTCAAATTTCTTCGTCGTCCGCATCCCAATCCTGTTGGCCATAATCCGGCCAGGGCTCTCCTGACAAAGAGAGAGACCTTAGTGAATTCAGAATGTCTCCGAAGGGCGAGTGCTGAAAGATATCCATGGCGGTGAATTCCATGATCGGCGCCCAATCGGATTCGATTGGCAGGGGCGCGGGCGGTTCGGAGTCAGAAAAAGAGTCCGGCACCTTGGAGTCACGGGCTGTGCAGAGGATTATGCTGGTGTTCGGCTCGATCGTCGCTGAGACTGCAGCCCTTGAGGCGGTGTCTAACCACCCGTCCTCGATTGGCGTAGTTGGCTCCGAACTAAGGGTCGAAGCTGATGCGGGCGCGGCCTCTGGGGTGCTGTTCGGCGGCAGAGCTAGGTCATACCCATCGCGACAGTGCGGCGCGCCCGGCTGTGGCTCGAATCCATCGAAGATCAAGTCTCCGCGGATGTCGGCCGTGTAGTTCAAACCTCCAAATCTGACCTGATGGCCAGGGGTGCAGCTTTCAATCTGCTCCAGATGGCCAAGCAAATTAGCCTATAGTGCAAAGCCGCCGAATACGAAGATCTATCCGGGGAGAAAAGTCTCACCCTGGACCGCATCGCTATCGATGATAGTAGGAGCCATCAAGCCTAACGGCGACGACACAGAGGAACTCTCAATGAAAGCACCAATGTCGGTGTCCAAACCGGCGGATCTCGGGTAGGGGGTCCCGAACTGTGCGTCTAGGCCGGATGGTAACAGGAGGCAGGGGACACGATGTTTTACCCAGGTTCGGGCCCTCTTAATGGAGGTAAACCCTACGTCCTGCTTGATTGATATTGATGATATGGGTAGTACAAGAGTAGATCTACCACGAGATCAAAGAGGCTAAACCCTAGAAGCTAGCGTATGGTATGATTATATGTTATGGTTGTTGTCCTATGGACTAAAACCCTTCGGTTTATATAGACACCGGAGAGGGTTAGGGTTACACAAGGTCGGTTACAAAGGAGGAGATATCCATATCCGTATTGCCTAGCTTGCCTTCCACGCCAAGTAGAGTCCCACCCGGACATGAGACGAAGTCTTCAATCTTGTATCTTCATAGTCTAACAGTCCAGCCAATGGAGATAGTCCGGCTGTCCGGAGACCCCCTAATCCAGGACTCCCTTAACTATGAAGCAAGAACCTCATCAAGCAACACCTCATCCCTCCTTGATAGTATTGGCTTTTCCTATAGACTCAATGTGATCTCGGATCACTAAAATATAAAATGTAGAGTCTTGAGCTTTGAGCTTGAGTCAATCTTTTTGTCCTTAGTATTTTGAGGGGTCCAATTTCCTCATCCATGCCATGCCATTCATTGAGCTTTTCCTGAAATATTAATCTTGGAATATCATTAGCTCAATGAGCTATATGTTGTTAGGAATTACCAAAACCACCTAGGGATAGTTGCACTTTCAACCCCAACACGAAATCATTAGTCCCGGTTGGTCTCGCCAACTGGGACTAAAGGTCCAATAGTCCCCCGTAACGCCCACGATGCGGCTATATCTCCCACGTGTTGAGGCACGACTTGGAGGCATAACTGCATGGTGGTTTTGTTGCAAGAGGGGTAATCTTCACACAGTCCCATGTACTAAATAAGAAAGGGATAAAGAGTTGGCTTACAATCGCCTGATTGGCCACAGGCGCTGTGTGCGGCGCAGCCAATGGCTATGCGCCAAGTGGCAGGGACGAGGTGGTCGGCCGGAATTTGAGGAGGGAAGCGGCGGTGCTGGTTACAAGTGGCGGCAGGGTAGCGGTTGGGTGCAGATTTCGAGGAAGATGCGACGGCTGGAGGTGGGAGGAGGCTAGGAGGGGTAGGGTTTGCCAAAAATAGAGGGGAAGACCTGCTATATATAACAAGGGGGGCTAGGTTAGGGGGATTAGCTCCGTTTCGGAGCCGTTCGATCACCATCGGACGGTCCGAAGCGGAGAGGAAGGTAGGTGGGCTAGATGGACTGTGTAGAGGGGGTAGGGCTGAGAAGAGGGGGAGAAGTGAGGCCCGACAGCAATTTCCGGAGACTGAAAACGTCCGACGATTTGACCGACTATATTGTCGCTATAGTTATCCGTTGGGGCATCAAACGGACCCCGAACACGATCAAACTTGGCAGGCGGCCTACCTATAACATAACAAGACCGCACGCCAAATCTCATACCATTCAAACATTTTCCGGACACTTATAAAATAATATTTCGGACGTGCCGCGGGCGCGTGCAAGTGTGTCTCGGCTCAGAACTGACAACGGAGAGAACTGGGGAACCCGGACGGATGCAAGTTTTTAAAACATGCAGATGCAATGCGGATGATGATAAGGCAAAATGCAACACGCAAGCAAATGACATGGCAAAGACAGCGAATAACTAGAAGACACCTGGCGCAACGGTCTCGGAGCATTACATCCCCGGCGCTAGCTGGCTGACATGTGGAGGGGCTTTAGTCTCGGTTGGTGTCACCAACCCAGACTAAAGGTCCTCCAGCCCCCGGCGCGCGCTTGCGGCCGTGTGAAGGACTTTAGTCTCGGGTTGTGGCCAACCGGGACTAAAGGGTGGGGGTATTTAGTCCCGATTTAGTTGTCCCGGTTGGTGACCCGGGACTAAAGGCCATTTCCAACCGGGACTAAATCTTGTTTCTCTGCTAATGCACTCTTATTCTATCACCCTCCATCGCTTTGAGAGAGGCACCCACCCGCGCTTGCTCTCCCTTTGGTACAGTGTGAACTTCTTGCATTCATGGCACTCACGATGAACACGAATCCAAAAGGTAGATGCCTTTTGCTCGGCGCCGACCGTGGGGTCTTGGCGAATGTCCCTCCAACACTCGCAAAGGAGTTTGACCTCCAGCTACGTGTGTCATTTGTCTGCTTGCCTTTGCGCTTCATGTTTGCGCCGGCTTGGTTGGCGAGCTCGTCGTTGAACAAAGGCTCCCCGTCGATGTCCATTTCATCCTTGCCCATGCCAACCTATTCTTGCATGAAGGAGTCGTCCATGCCGACCTGATCAAAGGTGGCAGGCATGTAGGGCACTTGGTCGTCTAGGATTTGGGTCTCATCGAGATCGAAGGCAGCCGCGCCCGCACCGCTTGCGAAGGAAGCGGCTCTCGCACCACCTTCAAAGATGATGTTCTTGATAATGAAACTTTTAGCCATCTCATCGTCACCGACTGCTGGCATTCTATCGAACAACTTGCGGGCGACGGGACGCATGTCGGTTGGTATCTCGCGCGGGCATTTCCTCACCCCTTCGGAGGATGATCCACCGGCCACCGGTGTGGCATTGAGGTCAATGGCCATGGGCACAGGCGTGGACAGCGCCATGATGCTCACCTCCAGCGAGCATTCCCCGGAGAAGCAGGAGGCTTGCAGATAGACATGGAAACCGGGAATCAGCTGCGTGGTAGACACGCGCGGCGACTCTGGCAGTACCACCCGAGGGAATGCCGACGAGCCAGTGTTGGCTGCAGCCACAACGGTGTTGACGAGCCTGTGATGGCCAGGGTTTGACCCTAGGTAGAGAAGGGCCTCCCTCATTGCCACGGTGACTCGGGCACTAGTTCCCTCCTACTGTGCGGTGGCAGAGAGGGCGGCCACGGCCGCGGCTTCGAGCTTGCGTTCTTGCTCGTGCCTCTGGCCCTTCCTCTTGGCCGACTGCATGGCCCACTCCTCGGGCGTCAACCGCTTCTTCTTCTTTGGCGTCGCCGCGGTCTTGCAGGCCGCGCGGGGCTTGCCTTTGGCAGAGGCGGCGGAGGTGAGGCCGGCGGCGATGTCGAGGGTCGGCACGTCGTCCATGGCGAGTGGCCGAGAGCGGAAGTGGGTGGGAGCTTTTTTTTGGAAAGTGGGAGAAATGGGTGTGGTTGTGCCGCCGACTGGCGGGCCAGGGAAGGAGTAGGCGGGTGTCGCGCGCGTCCATTTCGTGTCCACGCCGACGCAAATGTGGGTCAAATTTGGGTCGGAAATGAGTCGATAGGCAGAAGAAAAGCGGACACGCGTCCGTTTGGGTCGGCGCATTGGGCCAACTTTTGTGTCCATTTTGACCCAAATGAACACGGGCGGACAAAATGGGTCGGCGCGTTGGACTTGCTCTAATGAGTAAATGAGTAAAATAAGTATGTGCTTGATAATCCAGGAGAAAGAGACACGCTCGTGGAGAAAAAATGTATATGACCATGAAACATCAACCAAAGATTAAAATTGAGTCCATAAACATGCATACTATACGAAATGCACCTTGACATTCCTTATTTGCATCAAATAATAATTGTTGCATCTACATGGTCATCATGCTTTTTTTGCTCAGTTAACCGACTTAAAGTCCAAGAGATCGGGTTTCCCGCGAATCTGGTCCACAACCGCCTCGTACTTGGCATCCTTGCCATCTCCGTTGGTTGCGTCGATGAAGAGATGGAGGAGTAAGCCTAGTTCCAAATCATCATCGCTCTCGGCTCTCACAACTTTGTTGAATTTGATCCCGTCCTGTACCTGGTTCTCGTGCTCTGCCACCGCCCACCTGCCAAGCCGCTGGACATCTGGATTGTTGATGTCTATTGGCACACATGAACCTGCACCAACAACTGCCGTGGCGTAAATGACTACAATGGCCACAGCAAATAGGAGGCTATTTCCCATGGTCTGGCTTAGGTTCACGCCTTGGTGCTATGTATTGCAAGTAGTATATGTGTCTGTAAGGGCGTGGGAGGACAGCTTGGTGCTGAGTATTGCAACTCATGACGATTAGGGGCATTTATAGGGCTCTAGGCCTAACTGCTTTGCCAACAAATGGCTACAAATATAATTTGTTTTTGTTTTTTGGAAAGGATTCATTAGTTCATATCAAATCTTCCCCGTCTCTATATAACCTCTTCAAATTTAGTAAAAAATGATTGACATGATTTTTGGGATCAATTTTGGTTAAAAGTTGTCCAAAAGAAATACTGCTCAGGATTTTATGGGATGCATTGATGGTTAATAATGCATTGAGCTAGCAATTCAGACAATCTTTTCATACCATCATGACAGCTTGTATTCCAGCCAAAATGCATACAAGATCCGGATATGAGGCTATAACCAACCTATTTTAGTTTTTTTAGCAAACAAACCTATTTTAGTGGTGGAGCTATACCCTGTAGTTGCAAGCCCATCTCATGGCATCCGTGTATCAGATATCATATGGGATACAGATATATAATGAAACTACATGGCGACTTTGTGACTAGTTCATCATATACATATACATATACATGATCGATGTACATGTATATATACATGCAAATAGTTCGACAATCTCATAAGTAGGGGAGTAGTAAGGGAGCTCATTGAAGATGTCCTTAGGAAGGCTTTGGGGTAATTACAGGACACCATGTGCTGTGTAACTTTATGATTTAACTTGTGTGTGTGTGTGTGTGTCTGTGTGTGTGTGTGTGTAAATTGCTTTTTTTGCGGGTGATGTAAATTGTTGTTTGTAGACCAATCCAATAGTTGTTGACGTATATGTTAGCATGAGGCATGATGGAGAGTCGTCCTATTCCACGCTGGTTTTGGAGACCAATCCAATAGTTGTTGACATATATGTTAGCATGAGGCACGGTGGAGAGTCGTCCTATTCCATGCTGGTTAACAACAATTTACACACACATACACACACAAGTTAAATCATAAAGTTACACAGCAGACGGTGTCTTGGAGTTACCTAAAGCCTCCCTAAGGACATCTTCAATGAGCTCCCTTACTACTCCCCTACTTATGCTGACTCACCGGGAGTAGCCAAGCGCGCCAATCCAGCTAGTAGGGAATAGAGAAGGCAAGTAAACCATATGACATAGACTCTAATGACCGCTACTTAACAGGTAAGTAAACCCTTAGAAACAAGCTCCATCTGAAAGTATGATGCTATCCTATGCAATTGGTTTAATTTGGGTGAATTGGTTTTGTTTGCCTTGGGGTAACGACACGGTCAAAGTCATATTGCAAAAGCGAAACATGCCACATGAAACATGTTTTATGACCCTTCATGGCTAAAACAAAGGCAAGAATAAGGTATGGAGTATCGAGGGTGCAACATATGTTTGGCATCGGCTAGCTACCATCATCTTTTGCAACTAGCAGGGTGATAATGACTTATTTTAATTATCCGCTCTCCATTAAGACTCAATACGCCGCACAGTAATGAAGGAAATATGCCCTAGAGGCAATAATAAAGTTGTTATTTATATTTCCTTATATCATGATAAATGTCTATTATACATGCTAGAATTGTATTAACCGGAAACTTGATAAATGTGTGGATACATAGACAAAACGCGGTGTCCCTAGTAAGCCTCTACTAGACTAGCTCGTTAATCAAAGATTGTTAAGTTCCCTAACCATAGACATGTGTTGTCATTTGATGAACATGATAACATCATTAGGAGAATGATGTGATGGACAAGACCCATCCGTTAGCTTAGCATAATGATCGTTAAGTTTTATTGATATTGCTTTATTCATGACTTATACATATTCCTTTTACTATGAGATTATGCAAATCCCGGATACCAGAGAATACCTTTTGTGCTATCAAACGTCACAATGTAATTAGGTGATTATAATGATGCTCTTCAGGTATCTCCAAAGGTGTTTTCTTGGGTTGGCATAGATCGAGATTAGGATTTGTCACTCCGAGTATCGGAGAGATATCTCTGGGCCCTCTCGGTAATGCACATCATAATAAGCCTTGCAAGCAATGTGACTAATGAGTTAGTTGCGGGATGATGCATTACGAAACGGGTCAAGAGACTTGCCGGTAACGAGATTGAACTAGGTATGGAGATACTGACGATCGAATCTTGGGCAAGTAACATACCGATGATAAAGGGAATAATGTATGTTGTCATTGCGGTTTGACCGATAAAGATCTTCGTAGAATATGTGGGAGCCAATATGAGCATCCAGGTTCCGCTATTGGTTATTGACCAGAGAGGAGTCTTGGTCATGTCTACATAGTTCTCGAACCCGTAGGGTCCGCACGCTTAACGTTCGATGACGATTTGTATTATATGAGTTTTGTGATTTGGTGACCGAATGTTGTTCAGAGTCCCGAATGAGATTACGGACATGACGAGGAGTCTCAAATGGTCGAGAGGTAAAGATTGATATATTGGATGATAGTATTCGGACACCGGAAGTGTTCCAGAATGTATCGGGTACATATCGGAGTACCGGGGAGGTTACAGGGACCCCGCGGGGGAAGATATGGGCCATAGGAGGGAGGCACACCAGCCCACAAAGGGGTGGCGCGCCCCCCATAGGGAAGGAGGCCGAATAGGACTAGGAGAGGGGGCGCCGCCCCCCTTTCCTTCTCCCCCCCCCCTCTCTCTTTCCCCCTTTCCCCCTCCGGTAAAAGGAAAGGGGGACGAATCCTACTAGGAGCCCAAGTAGGACTCCTCCTACTTGGGGCGCTCCTAGGGCCGACCTCCTCCCCCTCCCTCCTTTATATATGTGAGGAGGGGTGCCTACAACACACATCAATTGTTCCAAGCCATGTGCGGCGCCCCCCTCCACAGTTTACGCCTCCGGTCATATTCACGTAGTGCTTAGGTGAAGCCCTGCACGGATCACTTCACCATCACCGTCACCACGCCGTCGTGCTGACGGAACTCTCCCTTGAGACTTTGCTGGATCAAGAATTCGAGGGACGTTGTTGAGCTGAACGTGTGCAGAACTCGGAGGTGCCGTACGTTTGGTGCTTGATCGGTCGGAACGTGAAGAAGTTCGACTACATCAATCATGTTAACAAAATGCTTTCGCTTTCGGTCTACGAGGGTACATGGACAAACTCTCCCCCTCTCGTTGCTATGCATCTCCTAGATTAATCTTGTGTGAGCGTAGGATTTTTTAAAAGAATGCATGCTACGTTTCCCAACAAGTAAATAATGACCGAGCTAACATCGGAAAGCACGATAAAACTATAATCCTATGTGATACATCTCCAATGTATCTATAATTTTTTATTGTTCCATGCTATTATAGTATCAATCTTGGATGTTTTATATGCAATTATATATCATTTTTTAGAACAAACCTATTAACCCAGTGCCAAGTGCCTGTTGTTGTTTCTTTTGGCATGTTTTTGTTTTTCTCATAAATCAGTACAAAATAAAGTCCAAACGCTACAATACTTTTTGTCGATTTTTTTTCTGGACAAGAGAGACCCTAGAAGCTTCAGGAGGAGATCAGACGACAACCGAGGAAACGACAAGGCAACAGGGCGTGTCATGTTACCTTGTGGGCCCTATGGGGATTCGTCTGACCTAATTTCACCTCTATAAATTCTCTAAAATTGGAAACCAACACAGAGCCACCCAAAATACTTTTTTCGCCACCGCAAGTCTCTGTTCTTCTGCGATCCCATCTGGAGGCCTTTTCTGGTACTCCGCCGAAGGGGGAATCGATCACGAAGTACTTCTACACCAACCTTGTTACCCTTCCGATGATGTGTGAGTAGTTCACCATAGACCTACGGGTCCATATCTAGTAGCTAGATGGCTTCGTCTCTCTCTTTGATCTTCAATACAATTTTCTCCTTGATGTTCTTGGAGTTATATCTGATGTAATCTTCTTTTGTGGTGTGTCTGTTGGGTCCGATGAATTGTGGGTTTATGATCAGATTATTCATGAGAAATATTTGAGTCTTTTCTGAATTCTTTTATACATGATTATTTTAGATTTGTATTTCTCTCTGATCTATCCATTTGGTTTGGCCAACTAGATTGATTTATCTTGCAATGGGAGAGGTGCTTTGTAATGAGTTCAATCTTGCGGTGATCTATATCCCAGTAACAAAGTAGGGGACAAGGCACGTATTTGTATTGTTTCTATTAAGGGGAAAACGACGGGGTTTATTCATATTGGTTGGATTTACTTAGTCTACAACATGTCATCTTGCTTAAGGCGTTAATTCGTTTTTTATTAACTTAATACCCTACATGCATGGTGGATAGCAGTCAATGGGTGAAGTAATAGTAGTAGATGCGGGCAGGAGTTGGTCTACTTGTCTCGGACATGATGCATATATACATGACCATTGCCTTGGATATCGTGATAACTATGCGCTTTTCTATCAATTGCCCAATAGTAGTTTGTTTGCCCATCACTTTTTGTTCGAGAGAGAAGCCTCTAGTGAAAACTATGGTCCCCGGGTCTACTTTTATCATATATAAAATACAAAAATACCTTGTTGCAATTTATTTACCATTATTTTTGTGTTTTATTTTATCTATCTATCACTACGAGATTTGATCCTTGCAATTAACCGCCAAGGGGATTGACAATCCCCCTGTTTCCGTTGGGTGCAAGTATTTGTTTTTGTGTGTGTAGGGTGCAAGTATTTCCTTTTGGGTGCAAGTATTTGTTTTTCACGTGGTTTTCCTATTGGATTGATAAGCTTGGTTCTTAACTGAGGGAAATACTTAACTCTACTATACTGCTTCATCATCTCCTCTTTGAGGAAATCCTAAGGCATCTCATAAGTAGCACTATGGAGCTAGAGCAGATTTCATGTTTGTTTCCTTAGTGTTGATTACTTATCAAAGTTCTTTTTGAGGGTCCAGGAAGACATCACAAAACACCCGTCAGGATGCGATACGACTTCT